GAAAAAACAACAAAAGAACGACGATAATCAACATAAATAAATATACCATTATGTGACGCCATGACATTCGTACGTTTCAAAATAAGGTCGCCATCAACAAAATCATCATTGTTCGTGTCCACAACTGATTTTCCACGGTTCACGCAATCTTCGACACGTTTGACGTTATGTGTTGCTGCAAGTATTGGTTGAGATTCATTCCGACCACCATGCGGTTCGTCCGTCAGGCCTATATCAGCACGTTTATCTGCAAAAAATAACTAGGTCCGACTAAAAACGCACTGAAACTCTTATACAACCAACATAATATTGGTCCCAGTAATGGATGTATTCACTGAAACAGGGTACAAATCATATACCAATTCAAACATATACATTTCACTTAAAATTACTATCAGAAAACATGTTACAACACATATATTGACTACAGTTGAATACAAACATGCACCAATTCATGTAAAATCTAGTAATAAATGCCAAACATATATAAAAAATAGGTAAATAAATAAAATTGAACTAAGTGATAATTTCTATTCACTGAATTAAAAAAACATATGAACCTTATTTCTCGTGGGTATTTTTAATCCAAATTATTACTGTTTTTTTTTTTTTTTTTTTTTTTTTTTTTTTTATTTTTAAATTTACCAAAAGCAATAAACTAAGAAAATTTGTTCTAGACAACCTTAGAACTTGAGATAAAATTGACTATAGCATTACCTGGGTTCTTCGATTGTGGAGAAACATCCATTTTTTTTTTCTTTTTGAATCTGTCCCAACTCACGTCACTTCTCACGAGCTTTGCATCATCTTTCCTTCAAACAGATGAAATCAAATCATTAATGATCAATATTTGAAGAATCACTCATCAACATAAGAAAGAGAGATGAAATTAGCTCACAAAATCGCTCAACAATGGCGAGATCTGCGAAAAATCACTTCCAAGACGGGCGCAGATCTTAATGAAGGCAATTAATGTGTCTGAACCTGCTTTACCCTAGGCTGTAATGTGAATGACGTGAATGCCCTTTCACATCCAAAATTGGGCGTGTACTTGGACTGTAATTACGTCCATGCCACCGCGTGGCCAACTTAAGTCCAGTTAATCTCAACCTTTAATCTGGACGATCCAATGGTGTATTATTGTTCTCATTTCTTTCATTGTCCCCCTTTCTCATATGATCCCTACTCTATATATATATATATATAGAGAGAGAGAGAGAGAGAGAGAGAGAGAGAGAGAGAGAGAGAGAGTTAGGATCATATGAGAATGATAGACAATGAAAGAAATAAGAATAATTTTGTACCATTGGATACATCATATCAATGACTAAGATTAGGCCAAAACATGGTCAATCATTAATGGTAATATGGTAAATTAACTTACACATTGAGGTGAAATTTACATATTTGTCCTATCATTAAGGGTATTTTAATCATTATATAATAAATCTCAATCACAAGTGTACCCCACCCCAACTACCACCCTAATTAATATCTCACCCACTCACACACACAAACACACAGTTATGTTACGCGCGCGCACACACACACACACACACACGCACGTTCTGGCAACCATCGGTCCATACCACCTTAGCTGCCAGAATTCATCCGGCACCGTTAGTCCACCGTATTCATCGGCCGAACCATATCATACCCACCTCCCCGACGGCGATGCTCGCCTCTTCTACCGCCGTCGAATTGCAGCCACCGCGATGCCGCCGCTTTGTTGCAGTCACCGCGTCGCCGCTGCCTCGTTGCAACCACCGATCTCAATTGTCGGCCCCGCTCACAACTCTGACAGCGAGAATGTCGCCACCTCCGACGATCCTTCAGATCCATTGTCCTGCCCCTGCCTCAAGTCGTTGGCGTCGCCATTGCCGTCCTTCCCGTCCCCCACACAACATCGACAACGCTCTGAGGATTAAACGACTAACCTTATTTTTCTGTTTTTTTTTCCTGATGATTTCGCCGGGCTGCTACCGGGGGGATGTGGCGGCGTTGGGTGTTTGGCTAAGATGACGGTGGCGGGTGACCATATCGGAGGTGTCTGGAATGTCAGGAGCACGCTCCGGCGAAGGTGGACGACAATCGAGGTGGTCGTCGGGTAGAGAGTGGTGATTGTGTCTGGTTTCAATCATTTGGATTAGGGGCTTTAGTTTGTAAATTTGACAAGTAATGAGGATTTGATTGTAATTTAAGAAATTTTAATATATTACAATTTAGTTCATAGGTCAAATTCGTAATTATCCAAAATATAATAAGTTTTAATAATTTTATTTGATATTTGGTTTAAAATGAATATAATGCTACATAAAATATAAAAAAAAAACCGATAATAATATTCTTTTATATATTTGAGCGTTCGGTTATATAAATAAAAAAACAAAATTGAATTGAAATTACCAAGTTTATAAAATAAAGAAGTACGTTCGGACCAAAATTTAAATTTTGTTAAAATTGAAAATTTTGGATTTGTCGGTTTCATTCAATATGATGCAATCTAATAGTCACTAGCGTGCAACTTTATATCAGTTATTTTAATAAATAAAGCCGACATCTAACCGAAACCATAATTTAAAAATAACGACAAATAATCGAACAAGAATATAAAATTTCAAATTGAGAATTTAAGGTTACATGGGTTCGATTTTTATTGTCCAATATAATAATCATGAATGTGCAATTCGTCTAACACTAGTGTACAATTGCAGTGCATACATTTTTAATGGTTTTATCTGAAATAATCGACTTATTCGATCGATTAAGCGAATTAATCTTATTTATATGAATGATTTATTATTTATATTATAGAATTATATTTAATATTTATAATTATTAATTTATATTATCATTTTGGTTTAAAAGACAAAAAATAAAGATTTTGAAATCGATTTGTGCATTATCACATGCAATATTGTGCATTTCATCTAACATAATCGTGCAGTCATCTAACATTCTCTCTCTTAAACCCTCTCCCCTCTCCCTCCTCCCCTCATCTTCCTCACTTGCTCTCAGGTCACCCCTCCCAGCTAGGTCTCGCCGGCGCCTGTCGTCGTCGGCGGCGTGCCGCCTGTCCTTGGGGCCCGGCTCCACCTCCATCTCTGTCAGTTTTTCCCTTTTTCTTTTCCCTCCAACTCATGGCTACTTCACCCTCATCGACGCCCACACCCGGCACCAAGATCTCGCCCTCCGGCGACCTGCAGGCCCGATTTTCCTCTTGGACTACCAACATAAAGAAGGTCATCAAATCCGCTCTTCAACCAATCAACCGGATTCATCCTCGAGTAGGCTGCCCGCCGCCTGTCACAACGCCGTCGCTCGAAGGTGGTACCCCTCCCGGAAGCTCGGTCCCTTCTACCGTTCCTGTCACTCCGACCGGTCAGAATGCCGGAAACCATCTTCCTTGGCCGGAACAGTTCGGCTCATTACCAGCGAGACCTCTTTCCTCCTCGACGGTCACAGCCCTCCACACGGCGACAGGCACAATCTCTACCCAGTCAAACCCTATCCACTTGGCAACCGACTTTCCCTTAGCTCAACTCCAAATGGACCGGCAATTTGGGCCACTCCCCAGTCCCACATCAGATCCTTGCCACACACTGCAACTCTCCACCATATGGGCCGACATTTTGGACAATTACCTAGGCCCAAATCTGACTCCTCTATTCCCCTCTGTGGGCCGCCTACCCTCTTGGCCCAATTCCCCTCACTACCTAATTCACTTACCTCTCACAACCCCTCTCATCAGCTGACCAGGCCCAACTCCCCAACAGACCCAAGAAACTACTACAGATCCATTCCACAGCAAGATCGCAGACCCTTGCCCTCGCCGGTAAACCAGTCTACGGCGGTCATCAGCCTTCACTGCCGGACGGTACCCCAGATTCCGGCTCCGACAACAGCGCCGATCAGACCCAGACGGGCGGCGCTTCTCTCCCTCTCGTGAGTCATCCACCCGCCACGGTGTCATCCTCCTCGTCGGATTTTTCGCAGGCCGGCCAGACCTCTCTATCGGCTGGACTATTAGGACGTGGACCTCACTCGACAAACACCTCGCCAGCGGAGGAACACAGCGAGCCCCCGCAAAGGGAATTGATCTTGTATTGTTTTTTTTTTGTGCATTCCAATTTTAGAAACTTTAATAATGTGTATTTTATTTAATTTTAATTTACAATTATCAAGTTATTTATATAATAAAAAAATATTTATTTTTATAATTCTCTATATAATAATTTATATTGTTATTGGTTGAGAACAAACAATATATAAGATAGAGTATAAAAAACAATATGTTTTTTTATATAGATTTGTCAATTCGGTTATTTCGTTTTTTCATTCTCTTGTTGCTG